GTTCCGGCTTTATGCAATATTACCACAAGGCGACTGATACAAATGATCTATCTATATTTGATTGATTATTTCTCGGTACAGTTTCTATTGTATTAGAGTAATTTCGATCCAAGAAATTCAAAAAATGTTAATTAGACAACGAGTTTTCATATAAATCTGCCCTCGGTTTATTAATTTGGTAATGGATATTTCACGAGGGACGAACTTAACAGGAATTTTCAATTTGGAGCAATCTAAGTATGGGAGCGGCTGTTCCACACAATAACCATTAAATTAAATTTTCAATAATGCCTCAAACTTAAAAAAAATTTAATATCTCAGGGGGTAAACATTTTTATTTGCGACTCAAACATTTCATCGTCGCTTCGTCATTTTTGAAATCACAAGTCATCGTTACTAAGCTCGTTTCGTATTGCATTTCCTTGTTTTGATATTTACTAAACAGCGATTTAATTCAATTAGGCGATTACTGGTGAAATTATAATTAATTGAATTTGTTTTCTAGTGAAAAAAAATCGGCCGACTGACCTTATTAAAATGAAAATATCGATAATACAATTAACCTACAGATATAAAGTTTAATTTTGGAGTAGCGAAATGATTGACGCGTCTAAGTGGTGTTTAAATTAAGTTTGAATCAGACGTTTATAAAGTTGGCTCAAATTTCTCCCCATCTGTAATATATCTTTCGGCGATTTGGGCTTTATTTGATTAGACAATATTTCCCTCTTCAAATTTTCAGATTTTAACTTCGATTGAAATGTTTTTTTACGGAAAAACGTGATGTAAGTAATGCAGATTTATTTAAAATTAAAAACCAACAGACTAGCACACAATTTTGTAATTAACAAACATTTAACAAATAAAAAACAAATAAAAAAAGAATTTTTGCTTTTAACAAAAATTATTTAAAAATTCACATTAAAAAAAACATGAATTCAGTTCAAATAGAAAACTGTTCAAAAGTGTCAAAAAATGCTTCTAAGCTCAGATGGTTTTATAGATATGTTTTTGTTGCTATTGTTATTTATATTTTGTCAATATTTATGTAAAATCTAGGTGAATAAAAATTATGGAAATTGTAAAAAGATTATGTTCTATCCAGTTACTCGTAAAAAAAGCGTGAATCTTTCTATTTTTAACTAAATTGTGTAGGTATATTTATAAAAGAACAAAAAAAAACATACTCAGTAAGTCTATTAAAACTATATATTTTAACTGTATACATTTTAAAAAATAATAACAAAAATCAGCATACTTTTTATGTAAGTATATGTTAATTTTTCTAGATTACAATAATTATATTCTAGATTAAACAATTATTAATATAAGTAATAGAAAAGTTGGAGGTAAATATTTGTTGTTATTGTTCGGATTATCGAGTGCAAGTTCAGACCATGACTCGTTACACTTCTTGTTGTTCGGAATAAATTTTGGTCGCATTAATTAAGTTGTACAGTAATATTTTAAATAATTATCTGTAAATTTATAAGAATTATCTAAAAATGCAAGTGTATTATAGTATTGTACCGTGCAATCAAAAAAAAAATAATCAGAGTAGGCGGTGATTAAAGTCCTTCAGATGGATGATTTGTGTCAGCGGACAAGTTTGCGTTTTATTCATTTTAAGAAAAATAATGTTCACTTTAGAGCAGAAAATTTTTATTGTTGCAAGTTATTACAAAAATGCTGTACAACACGAAAACGTGAATGGTTATTTTCACTTTCAGTTTTTGTGGAAAATTTCCAGACAATTTCGAATAAAAAATTTTCTGCTCTAAAGTGAACATTATTTAACTCAAAATAAATAAAAAGTAAACTTGTCAAAGTTTCCGCTGACATTTGATGTCAAAAATCAGGATTGCCATCTGAAGGACTTTAATCACCGCCTTCTCTAATTTTTTTTTTTGATCGCACGGTGTATATTAAGTTATAAAGTAAACATTAAACGGAAACTTAATTAACTGAGCCAAAAACTTTGATAAGAGCATAAAATGAATACCAATGGATTGACAACACGAATACATTTTTGCTACAATGTTGGTGATAGCAACAGAACAAAATACATATATGGAAGGTTCAGAGTTTAAATAAAACTTTATTCAACATTATTGAACCAACAAAAATATTTAGAAATTAATTGTTAATTAATTGCAACTGTATTGGAGCTAACCAATTTTAAAATTAGCTTTTGTAAGGTCAGTTTCATAATTGAATTAAAAGGACTCAGAGTTAGACTTCAGAGTTAAAGTGAACCCCAAGTCCATAAGTGCTGCATATTATTTGAAAAGGAAAATAATATAATTTAAATAAAACTTTATTCAACATTATTGAACCAACAAAAATATTTAGAAATTAATTGTTAATTAATTGCAACTGTATTGGAGCTAACCAATTTTAAAATTAGCTTTTGTAAGGTCAGTTTCATAATTGAATTAAAAGGACTTTAAAGCTATTGTTGGTTTAGAATGTAAAATGTAATAATTGTTACGGACTTGTTGACAAAAAATTTACATTCTGAACCAACACTAATTTTAAAGTTTCTTTAATTTTATTATAAAACTGGCTTTTTGAAGTACCCGTCATAAACTTGGTTCCATATTTCGTAATAAAATTCTAATACAATTTATTTGGTGACACATTGATTATTTTGAAAACACAGTTCTTATTTCAAACATAATTATTATAATTATAATTATTCGTTAGGTTACAAACGGTTTGACGCATTTATTTCAATTATCAAATTTCCATTTTTTAAGATAAGTGAAATATTGTTTTCTTCCTAGATCTTGTTAATATTTTTAGTTACTTTAATTATTATGTAGCAAAAGCTGGTTCTTTTATTTTTTTAAGTAAAAAATTAACTATTGAAATGTTGTGATGGTGGGGTATTGATTTGGTTATCGAATTTAATTAAGCTAAAACAAATCCGTCGTCGTTAGTGCTGCGTCATCAAATAGAAGAATCCTTTATTCGAGAGTTCATCGCCGGATCAGCTCCTCGTATCCGAGATGTTGCAATTTTCTGAAAGCTCCCCGGAGTTCTTTGAGTCGAGGGGGCCGCGGACTGTTCCGACACGTCACTCACTCTGAAACTTACCCATGATTAATGATCGCTTAGCAGCGCACAGCTTCAAACAACAAAGTTTTCCCAGAGAAAAAAATATTGTATATAAGAAACGAACGTTCGGAAAGAGTCTTTCTATATCTACCCTTCAAGATTACGTTCTGCCCTCGAGCACAGTTCTGCTCTGACAGTCCTTCATTCCCTCCACTTTCTTTATTTTAAATGTCCTCACAGAAAAAATCGATCGCAAATGGGAGATTTTTAAATGACGGTGGGATAATGGAGTGGCCGAGGATACAGTGACATTATAGTAAAATGACTGGGCGTGATGACGGCTTGCTTGTCACAAGAAGGATAAATTCATCATTCTGTACCAGTGGACTAAAATCGATGACGTCACGACTCACTCACCACTCGTGCAACGACTGTTTTATTTAGAACTAGGGCGGTGAAATATTAATCGAAATGTCAAAATGGAGATTCCAAAAATTTAGGGGTGCAAAAGGAATTTCTGACTTAGGAGGGGCCCAACAGACGCTTACACTAGAAGACCTAATGATCTAAACGAATGATTTCAAAACTTTCAAAAACAAATACACGCCAAAAATAAATATATTCAGATTTTCTGCAATAAAATGCACTAAATGGTTTTCAAATATATTGAAAAAAGTTTTTAAAATAGAAAAAGTATAACATTTTATTATTATATGAAGCGGTGTCTTTAAATTGATTTAAACACTAAATAAAAAGCTACAGTAATATTTCGTGCTTGTAATGTATGTGTTTTTTTTTGATTAAACATATTGAGGTAGGACAGCTAGTATATCGAAATCAAAATTAAAAAGTACCACCAAGTAATTGTCGACATCTATCGTCAAGAAGTATCAACGTTATTCATAAAATGCGATTCAAAATTCAAATTTTCTATTTAATTCCCATGACATCTGAAATGGTTGTTACTTTTGTTGGTATGTTTCAGTTTCAAATCCGTTATTTTTCTCATTCTTTTGTAAATAATTTCTATTAATCCTCGTCGGTTCGTCGTGGCCTCACCTCGACAAAAGCTTGTAAAGATGCAGTTGGGCCCAAGCAGAGGCTGAGATTTTCATGTCACTTTTGAATCTTAGGCCGCGTATCATTAATCTTGTGTCCTGGTAGAATACTTACCGCTGCCTGCTTATCTCGAAACCCTTACTACGGTAGAATCGGTCCTCGGTAACTCTTTAATGCACTTAATTAATAAAGAAGGTGAAGAGATACGGGCGATTTTCCAATGAGGAAAGAAAAAATCATTATCCAGGTGAAACTAATTTGAATAACTTACAACAATGGCCGTGTCAATCACAGTAGGACCACTCGAACTGATTATAAAGGATAGAAAAATTAACACCAAACGAGTTATGATTAATGGTCTCAGCCTTAATCTGGCTACAAATTACAACTGTTGCACTGGTTATGCTATTATCTAATCGCGGGTTCGTGCTTTAGGACAAATGAGAAAAGACACACGACGATAGAAGTAATTGTGCCAGAAATTAGGTTTTAGCGATTTGAAGTGGTGGCTTCTTTGTTCTGATTTTTTATGAGACCTATAATTACTTATTAGTGATTTGTTTCAATAATTTTAAAATATGTTTTTTATTTGTAGTTTTATTTATCATTCAAAGCATGGTTTGTTTTTCGAAAACAATTGATAACAATTGAGAGCTTTGGAAGCTTTCTGGTATCCTGAGTATGCAACCAACAATACACTAAAAGCTCCCACATCACATCAAAATGGAGGAAAAGCAATTGTTAAAATAATTGATTTCACAATTATGTTACAATATTGTTTGCTACTTCTTTGTTATTTAGTTGATTAATCACGTCTCAGTCTTTTTTATTTTAATAATTTAGTGAATGTTAAAGTAAATAAAACAAGTTTTCTCTTGAACTTTATTTTTAATTTCTGATTATACAAAACATTTAACTATTTTTTTTATATTATAAATATTTTCTGTCTGCGACATTTGATACTGACTAAGTAATATGTGTTTAATTGTCGGCTTTTTATTAACTATTACCCAGCTTTGACATTTTTATGATGATTTATATCTAAGAACTGGCATTCGTCTATTAAATAATAAGTCTAAATTAACACTTAGTTTTATTTTAGTCACGTTGCAATGTATGCACCACACAAACCTCTCTAGAACCGAATTTGTCGCCTGATTTCAAACAAATTCGGATCTACAGGGTAGATGTAGAGCATTAACGTGAAGCGACGTTTTTTTTTTTAATAATCTTCAGCAAAAACCTGTAACAAAAAACATAATTAGTGTTATTCTAAACAACGAATACTTTATTTTAAAAAGTACTTGTGATTAGAAATCTTTACACTTTTTGCACTATTTGATTAAATTAGAAAATCTTTTGGATTAAGAATCAAAAAGTAATACTTAAATGATAATTAGTTATAAAACGAAATAAAAAAAATATTTATTTCGTAATTAAAAGTACAATCTTAATGTTAATAAAAATCAAATAAAATTAAAACTTAAATTCTATTATAATACATTTTCTAACTGGTTGGCGAAGAAATTATATTTTACTTCAAAAGTGCTGATTTAAATTTGAATTTTTAAAATATAATTAAGCAAATTCTTGTTTTTTTATATTTTTCAATAAAAATGCTCATCACATAATAAAGAACGAAACTCGTAAAACTATTTCAAAATAAACAATTTTGTTTAAAACATATTGTCCTCTGATAATTAGGTATTAATTACTTATTAATTATTATTTTTATTCCTCACTTCTTTACAATTAATTTTAAACTACAAATCAAGAAATGAGTGTCAATTTTTCACATAAGTAGGAGGTATACGAGGATGTCCAAAAAAATGTTGAAAGCTTTCGAGAAGTGATTCCCTAGGTCAAAATAAGAAAAAGAGTTCCAATGAACCTATGTCCGGAAATGCTTCCTAAGGGAGCTAGAGCAATAACTCGACCTTATATGAAAAAACTCACTGTGTGAGTTGCTTTTTAGAATAAGAGTCTGTGCACGGTTTAAGAAAACCTCGTTTTTGTCGAAAACGGTGTGATGTACAAAAATAACACAAGAGATAATTTTTTACACTTTACACTTTTGTAAATTTATGTCCATCGGTTACTGGGATAAATGAAAACACCTTTTGTCTGTCTTCTTCAAGGGGAACTAGCTCCCTTATAGGAAGCATTTTCAAACGTAGTCTATGGGATCTTTTTTTTTTCATTTTGATCTAGAAAACCATTTCCCGAAATCTTTCAACGTTTTTTCAGACATCCTGTATTTATAACTAGTATTTTATTTGCTAATATAATATGTAAGTAATTTCTTAAAGATATTTCTACAATTTCCTTATTTTTTTCGTTTTTTAGTCATAAAACTATTATAATAAATTATATAAATTATTTACATTTAACATTTTATGTTTGTTGTGGTTAAATATAACATAGTAAGTTTTTTTTATTTTCAACTAGTTGGTTTAATTGTTAAAGATCTTAAAATTAGCTTTCCAAGATTGATACAGATTTAAATGTCATAAACAATTAGATCAGTAACATTGAACAAAAACACGATTAGCCCGTCACACCAAACTTTTATTTAAATCACAACGCGTTTCAACCACAAAGTGGTCATCCTCAGGTGAGAATAAAACTAAAATAAAATAAAACTTTTATTCTCTATAAAAGTTTGCTGTGACGGGCTAATCGTGTTTTTGTTCATCGTTTCCATACCAAGAAGATCCAAGAAGAAGTAGATCAGTAACAAATTTAGCTAAATTAATTTTCTAATTACTAATTTAAATAAATTAACGAATAATATGTTAGTCTGCACAACATTTTTTTTTAATTTAAAAGTACTTATTTTAAATCAAACATAGAAGAAAATATGTGTTTCTTATATTTCTTATTTTCTAATACTCATCGGTTTAGTATCTTTTTTTAATAAAAATCTTATTTTTTATGTTGTGAAAAAGACTAGACATATGTATATCTCCATCTTCTGAAATATACAGTGTGATTCAGGTAAGATAATGAGCCCGGCGTTTTGGCGATAGGTATACAACCCAAAAAACGAATTTCATTTACTCTGACAGTGCTTTGACCAGCATTTTATGATTTATAAAAAAAACTGTTTGCCTACCTTTGATGTTTCATTCTTTCCTACATTTTGTATTGAGTTTACACCGAAAAGACTTTTCTAATTTCGCTATCATTCCGCGAGAAGTGAATGGTACTAATAATGGTTCTCTGCGTTGTCAAAGTGACATAAGATGATAACTTGGATTCAACTTGCAAATCTTAATTTAAATTGGATCAAAGACGTAAATGAAATTTGTTTTTTGGGTTGCATCGCCAGATCGCCAGGCTCATTATCTTATCTGAATCGCCCTGTATGTAAGAAATAAGCCTTTTTTATTTTGTGAAGACGTCATTTTAATTATTATAGTTTCAAAAAACTTTATTTAAAAAGAGAAACAAACAATCATTTTGTAACTTTTAAATACTCACATCCTCGTTTAATTTTGTGACTGTTAAACAATTCACCGACCATCCGTCTTATGTCACTTTCCTGTAAATAATAAAATACATATTAATCTTCATTAAGTAAACTCGATTTGATTAAATACAAGAACACCAATTACAATTAAGATTTAGACCAACCCACATAATTACAATTTTTCCTTCGTACACGCTACTAATTAAACCTAAATAAGCAATTTCTCGATCAAAATATGTAGTTTTGTAACCAGAACCGTCAATCATTAGAACTAAATTCTCATTTAACTAAATTAATAGGTAATTAACAGGTACTCACACAATCGTAGCCTAATTATATCGCTCTTTGTAATAAATTAACACTTAAGATCTTCGTGTGTGACTGTGAAATCAATTCCTTAATCCATTAATCATCCAACACACATATATTTCTTAATTACAATGAAATTAGTTGCGGACTGTTTGATCTCTTTAGAGAAAATTTTCTGCTTCATTTTTTGTATTCTACCGATTAGACAACACATATTATTCATCTCTGGAGAACGGAAAAAACGTGGAAAAAACTCGATGACATCAGTTGACAATGTTGACATGCGGACTGTGTAATCCAAACGGCGACGGAATGCATGATGGTACTTTCTTTTTGCTCCAGCCAAAGTCAAGAACCTGAAAAAGACAATTATAAGATTATTGTATAACTTTTTTTAAATTAGTGTTTTGACTTGAGGTAACAATTTCCGTTTCATATTCAAGCGACTTTTCACATCTGTTAGCGCTGAATAACGTGATTAGAATATATAAGGGACATTTGTCAACGTATAAAGACATCAATCCTGTACTTTCATGCTAATGCAGACTCACTACAAGTAGAATTACCATAAAGTGAATCGAAAATCATTTCAAGGGTGGTATAACAGTTTCAGCCAACTTTAAGATATTGGTGTCACGCTTTGTCGAGGGTAAAAATTTGTTAGGATTTTGTAAATGAGGTCGAGGTTATCGCGATTGAAGATCGGAGGCAAATGAAGGTTTTAGGAAATTAAATCCGGTCGAGAAGAGCAGACTTTATAGAGGTCTGAAAGGAAAATGGAGCGAAAAATAGAAAAATCTACAAAAACAATTTATTTCTTAAACATATTTACCTATAAATTGTTTGTTAGATGAATTAAGTGACAGAGCAGTCTAAACGTAAATACTGTTCAAAATATTCTTGACCAAACAGAACTTGCACAAATTTTTGATTAATTTACCTTACCAGAAAATTTATTATACAGTTTGTTCCAGATTTATAAAATAATGTAAAAGAGAATCTGTTATACTTTTTACTTATTTAAAAGTAAAACATTAACATCACTCTAATGCTGTTGTTCTTAATTTTTAGTTAAATTTCAATTGTCCGTATAAATGCTATGAATAAACTGTATAAACGTTGAATATACTTTTCAGTTGTAAGAAATTTAACATAGGTACATATATTATATGAAACTGAAAAAAGAAGTAAATTGTAATTTACAATATACTTATAATACGTTGAAGAAAATCAGTTAAAATTAAAGCAGTCGGGATCTAGCTTTAAAAAGTTTTTTTTTTCTTTACTGTTATTATTACAAAAGCTTATACAAAGTAGCTACTTTCTGTAACTTGCTAGAAAACAGTACACTTTTTGTAATAAAAGAAAACTTTGAACGAAACTTGGCGATTGCCAAGCAGTGGCGGCTCGTGACAAAAGTAGGTAAATCTAGAAAATATGTGTGTTACAAACTTGCCGATTAGAAAACGTTTATTTCTATTTTTAAAAGATTTACATTAAGCCAATTAAATAACTGATATAAATATTTGGTTGTAAAAAATATTTTGCCATGTAGTGAAGACACTATTTCCATTAGTATGAAACATACCTATAAGTAGGTATATTTCTATAAAAAATTGCTACGATTTGTTAAATTCTTATTTAAAAAAAAAAAAACGTAATCTCTGTGGTAAGTACAAGATAAAATTTGTTAACTCTTTTCTAAGCTAATATTTCTAAAATATTCTAAAAGGATAAAATAATTATAATTATAGTTTTTAACTCTTTTCTTTAACTCGAATCGCCTCCAAGTAATCAAAGCAATTCACTATACTTCAATGTAAAGCAAAAATATTGGTACTAAAATACTGATGCATGCCACATCGACTTGGAACTGAAAAAAAATGTACCTATTTGATTTTTTAGTCAACTGTTACACAAAGGCTGATCAAAGCAAATTGAAACAAACTACGACCATTGGTGAAAACTTCAGAATAAAGTGCTGTGAAAAATTATCACATCTAGGTACTTCAGAAAGAATAAAATTTATTATTTTTAGGAAAACAATTCACAAGTATCGGAAAAAAATTACTCAAAGTTGTCTGTAAAATTATAATAAAACTTTAGATATACAAATAAAAGCTCAAGAAAAACAGAAAGACAACTGCCATAAATAATAAATTCAAAGAGATGAAGCACGCACGATAAAACATGAATAGAATCATGAAACATAAAGCAGAAAAGCGCAAAAGTGTAATTGAAAAAATAATGAGATTTCATGCTCAAGTGCAAAAATTACGTGACTTTGACCGTTAAAATTAAATTTAGGTGACAAAATGAATCGCAGAATTTGATATTGAAGTTATAGATTTTGACTAACCCTCATCGTCAGCTCTCTCGAGCCTATATCATCTTCGTAATCATTGAATCAAGCACGCAATTAATTTGCGTTTGATATATCACAGGTGTCAAAGTCACGCAACGTTTCATCTTCAACTCTCGCAGAATCAGAATCAGCAAGCGTCGTCATTTTCTGTGTATAGAAATTCGAGTCATACCTTATGGTAGGTTGGGCCTGCAGTCAGGTGGTTGTGGTAATTATCACCTCCGATTACCGGTGATGAGAGTTTCACTTTTTCAGCTCGCGCATCTTGTTGACAGAGGACGATGACGACGGCTGTGTGACAGCTTCGGCTTGTGACACCGTCGGGATGCCTGATGGGTGGGGATTCAGCAAGCCCCTGATGCTCAATCGATCGCCTCTCACGCCCAGTTTTCCCGCGCACTAGTGGATGTTGCGCGATCCGCGTTTAAGAAACGCTATGTCTCTAGTCCTTGGAGTTCGGTAATCTGAAGGGTCCTTGGAGGATCGCGACGCTTCCCCTTTTCCAGCCGCCAGCTGAAATTTTACATCCTGAAAGCAATATTCGCGAGAGGGGAGAATACAAACAATTGCGTTTTATGAGGAAATTTTGAGAGCGTGAGATGAAGGGAGGTTTCAAGGGGTACAATTGAATTTGTACGTTTTGAAGAAAATCAAACGAAATTTTTTGATAAGGGCTTGGACGACACATTTGCCACGATTTATTGACGCTTTCAAAAACGTATTATGCAGAAAGGTGGGCCAATCGCAAACGAATCACTGCAAATCTTCAAAACTACAGACATTAAATCTCACTTCTAATTTGCACTTTTGATTTTGTTTATTGAGACACAATAATTCTTGCAATATGTAGGATCTAAAAAAAATTTTCATTTACTTCTACATCCATTTTGTTTTAGATATCAAAAGATCAAAAAACCGGTTTTTTATTTTTAATGTTTTAAACCCAATACATCTTCGTAATCGCTGTATGAAAATGAAAAAAAAAAACTCAATAATTTAAAAAGTGTTTTATTAAAACTATCGGCCGTACAAAAGACCAGCAAAGAACTTAAAGTCTTAAAAAGTCTAGTAAACTTTTAGTCAAAAAAAATATCAGGATTAAGAATTTTTAACCTTATTTTTACTACTGTAAGTCAATGCCACTGACTGTAACTGTCAGACATATCATTGCATATTTTTGACAAGAAAAAAGTCAATAATTTGAAACTGTCATCAACGTTGACTTGATGATAAAAATGGTGAACAAAGTATTTTGTCCCCAATAGTATGTTTTTATCGATAAATTAGACTTTTTAGATATAATATACATAATAAATATTTTCTTAAAGCGTCAAAGCTAGCCATAAAAGTTTAGTTGTAAACAAACCATCAAATTGAAAGTCATTAATCTGACATTTGACATCTCGCTGAGCTTATTTATTAAAAATTGTGGTCCGTTCACAACAAACTCGTAGTCACCGCCAATTAAGACGCCAAATTGAAAAAAAACACCCGTTACTAAAAAATATTTAAAATTACTAAAACAGGTCAATATCTCGGATGTTGCTTACTGTTAGTGGAGGTCTGTATAGTGCAACAGATTTGCTTTTGGTTATTTAAAAAAACATTAGATGATTAATATTTTAAGGGTTATTCACAATTGTTCTCAGGTAAACATATGTACATTAATTTTTAATCATTAGTAACATCAACTTAAACTTAAACATTTTGACATTTCAAAATGTAAAATTCAATACTTTGAAACAAACAAAAAATCGACATAAAATATAGGTAAGAATTGCTTGCTTATAGTACCAATATGTTGCTACACTTAAAAAAAATAGTAAGACATTTTTGATAAAAATAGTTTAACCATTTTTTTTTTAATTTATCAATAAAAATTAAAGAAAAAAACTCAGTAGGTATATTTTTAAGAGTTGACCTGCAAACTGTGTATTTTTCGAATTCAAATATATACTCATGAAAGTACAGACACTGCATTTATTTCGAAAATTTTGAGCTGTTGTAGGTGTTTAGTTTTTAGTCAATGACTTAAAAAGTAGTTTTCTAGAATGCTATTAGTTAATTATAAGTAAAGTACCACCTAATCATTTTTTTATATCTTAGACACTAAGCCCGTAGCAGCCTCTTCTTGTTCATAAATCCTTGAACAAACTAATATCACAAACTAATTTGTATGTAGGTATGTGTAATTATTATTAAATTAAATTATTAAATTATCATTAAATTAAAAAAATATTTTTTTTCCAATTTTGTTGTGAAAATCATCCATTGTGATATGTCATTTTGTCAAATGTGCTTAATTTTATCACTAGTTATAATGCAAAATGGCCGTTTTTTACACACGACGACGTGTTGTTCACGTCTGGTGAAAAACACGCTCATTTTGCAACTTGTTGCATAAATAGCTATTTTCTAACAGCATCCTTATAGATAATTAAAAAAACATTTTGAGTTCTGTACATGTAGTACATGTACTTAAAAAAAGCTTTGTAACAATAGAATAAAAATAATGATGATATCCAGAGTCGACTACGTTTTATTTTTTACTTCTTTTCATATAGGTACTCTTACATACTATAATATATACCTAATAATTATTACTTAATTAGGTAATACTAATAACAATAACCAACAATATTCTTGCCTAGAGTTTTGAAAAAAAATAGAGGTATGTAATACAGATTGTAAAATCAGAGAAATCCTAAAAAGCCTCGTTGCGATATCTCCCGTTGTGCGACAAAAAATTGTTCGCATTTTTCAATTTCCGTTCGTTCTCCATAATCCGACCTCTCGCTTGGCGTCTCTTTACAAAATTCCACTCACCACGACTCTTGCATCCGATCCCAAACACACCTCAAACCTTATCATTCCTATCGATTAACAGCAAGTTACCTTACGGTTCACAATTCTGATTCAGCAAAGACGCAATATTTCGAATTCCTTTCAGGTCAAATCTCAAACCAGTTTGGACCGTCTGGTAAACTTCCCGTTCGGATACATAGGAAACCATCCTCCCAGAAAACTTCGCTACCCTACAAGAAACGCGAGCAGGTAGACCGATTTCACTCTTATTTGTTGTTAAAATTTATGGCACACTCAAAGCAACAAGGTCGGCCATAAAAACCGACTTAACGGCATCTGATACTGGAACCAAGCGAAAAAAGACAGTTTTTGAAACGAATTTTAGCCAAATTGCAAAATGTGATTTCTTGACCTATCCAAGACCCATTCGTGGTGCATTGTTACACGGTAATAGAATACAGATAGTGCATGGCATGACACAGCGCAATACCAGACCCGACCTGTCCTAACAGACAGTAAGATTAATGACATTGTGTTCTGAATTGCTGTACTATACCGTCTTCAAAGTGTAAATAGTACCGGAGGAATCGATCGGACAAAGTCATTGTCCTTGGATTTGAAGGAAGTGGGTTATTAGGAATCGCAAGTACCGATTGGATTGAGGCCAAAATGGAAAACTGGAATGCTTGTTTGATGAGATAGACAAGTGGTTTCATCGAGAGATGAGCCAAACTGATAAATAAAAATTAAATCAAGAGTGCATGAAAATAGCTAAAATGCAAAACATTGTAGGGGCTTGTTTTTTGGAAATACCTTCTTTTTGGTCCCATTTTCAATTTGTATTTATATAAACAGAAATTTTATTTTTTGTGTTTCAAAACGTAATATTATAATTCTGTATATTTTTAATTACACAATATTTTTGCAAGTACCTACAAACGATTTTTTTAATCGTTTAAATAGATTAGGTAATATTTTAAATTCTCCATTTTATTATGTAAGTAAGACAGATTGTTGGAGTTAAAGACAGTGTTTTTCAGATCGACAAAAATATTTTTGCTATCAACTTGTGTGTTAATCGGCGATTAGACAATTAACTTACTTCTAATGGACTTCACTACAAGATTAAAAACATTGTCTTTAATATATTCATGTAATATACTATTAAAGTGTTGTTATAATAATGTGTTACTATTTTTTTATTAGGTATAGAAAATTGTGTGTGATGATTTACAAAAGGAATTAAGATAAATTTATTCCTCAAGTTTTAGGTAAAATCTAATGTAAAGTTATATATGTTACTTGAATTACTAATGTCATATTAGTAACATTGAACAATTATCTGTAGACTGTTTATACGTATTTTAAGTTACATACATGATACGTTTACGTTTACATATTTCTCAACCAAAATAAAAAAAACAACAAAAGATTAGTTTTACTGCACATTTGTACTGAAAAATTGCTGAAATCAGTGCTTTTACAAATTTTGCTGCAAAATCCTTTTATTTTACACAAAGTTGAATTTTCTATTTCTTTATCAATGTGTTTTGCTCGTTTCAGAAGACAGAATCGGAAATGAGTGAAATTTTGCGGAAACCGTTACGGCCACCCTTCTACAAGCCAGTTGACCTTTCGGTTTTATTTATTGTTTTATTTATTTTTGCGATAGTGACTAAGAAAACGCCTATAATATTTGTGACCAAGGTTAAACGGGCTGCACCATTTGGCCGACCTTTTGACCTTGCGAAACATACTCACCTTTACTCCCAAAAATATATTTTTTTAATAATGTCAATCGGGTTGTTAACCCAATAAAAAATTTGAACGTCCTGTAACAAGATCCCGGCAAATTGGCAAAACTTTTGTCCAATTCGTGCCAAGGATGTCCTCACGACTCCCACGAAGCCAAAATAAAACTGACCTCACAGTCGTGGTATTTGGCAATACTATTAATTTAGAGTATTTGTCGCCACCCACAATTGTTTTTGTAATTAATTGCTCCTCTGAGACAAAAATAAGCGACAAAGCGTTTTTTGCAGAAAATCTAAATTCAGAATCGTGGAACCGGTTTAAAGTTTTGAGACGAATCAAAATCGCTTCATTATTGTTTTAATTAAGTGAGAAATTATTTAACGGATATGCTAATTTTTCGTATTGATTAAAATGGCAAAATTTTGGGCATGCGCAGAACCGGAAATGCGCGCGTTTTACACACATGAACATTGTTTAGATGGCGCCAATCGATTTATAAACTTTATTTTAACAATAAAAATTTTTTTGGTGCTTTTTTGAAAGTTTTAAGCGTGTTAAAATTTGTTGACCCTGAAACTCCCCTAGTGTTAATTATAATTCAAGAATTAATAATACAACACGCTTCTAACAACATATGTGTTTTATAGAATTAATTACAATTTTTAATTAGGGTGAAACTAAAAAAAATGTATAGATCAATTCTGATCAAAATTCATTGTTTGCTTCCGTGCCATCAAATTCGGTTACAATTTTCCCCTCAAATTTAATTTTAATCGAAATTTAATCAATCACATGACAACATCTTACCAATCAATGAGATTTAAATTAAGATAAATAAATTTTGTGTTTGCTGGATTGAAAAAAACTGAGCACAAACACTTCCACTTTTCACTGCGTTTCAGTACCAACTGTCGCGGTCTCAGTTCCCTGGTAGCTTGCTGCCGGCCCGAAAGCCATTAACATAAATTATTATTGGAGACAGTTAATATTGGGTCGTAAACCTTACTAAGGGGCTGAATACGTATGGTTTTTCTGCAACCCAATTTCCCGAAATAATTATACTCAAATCAAAATTTTCTTTTTTCTATTAAATCTTTCAATGATAAGGGGCCGTACATTTGAAGACGGCCATTATAAAAAAGGCGGTGATAATTTTGATCCCCTTGACAGCTTCTGGACCGGGATCATTTTACTGACAGCTGCACGAGGGTCAGTGACGTCACAGATAGCCTCTATTCTAATCGTCTTTTGTCAGGAGGGAGGGTGACTAGAATAGGTCTGCAGGTAATAAACTGAAATTTTCGATCGCTTGAGCTTTAATTAACAGTTAATTAATTATTTAAACTGCCTTTTGTGACCTTTTAACTGTAAATAATTGTTCTGTTTATATTTACAAGAATTAGATTCTCACATTCTTTCAATAGTAACCTTGACTTTTAACACAAGAATGCATACCAAACCAAATAGAAGTTTTCTTTTAATTAAAGGTTCTATTTTAAGTTTCAAAAAATTATAACTTTCACTTAAACATTAAACAGAAACGAGATCTTCCAAGAAAAAAAAAATACGATACAATTATTTAAATATAAAATAAAATCATTGAAAGTATAATACTTCTATTTAAATTTGTCACTGTTACAGGTGGCTATATTTACTTGTTTCACCAAAATCTTTAAGTTGCTTTTTTGCGCCCCCTCTTGCTCACACATCCAAGTGGTCTGTTACAGACCGTTGTTAAAGCACTTTTGCCTGCGCCATCTTTTGTGGATAGCCAAAATTAAGACAAAATGTAAATCTGTAGATTTAGTTATATAAATTTTCGAACTGTCTTTACAGAGTTCTTGCGATTCGAGAAAAGATTGTTTCACTTGTTTTGGCAGATTTTTTTGTTATGTGAAGGACAGCAAAGTAACCTATATAATTTTATTTTCCAGCATTTTTTTAAATAAAAAAATATATAGCTTTTATTTTGTGTATGCAGGTTCACGATTCATGCATTATTCACAAGAAACGATATATTTTTATAAAGAAAATGCATTCAGTCTTTTTTGTATGCAAAACAAGAGTATGTGGATGCAACATAAACGTCTAAAATGGACGGAAAGATTGACAGAGAAGAGTTTATTTTGATGTTTGACCACCAGTAACTGTTTCTTTATTTGGCATTTTGCTTGAATGCAATTTATGTTCTTTTGTAGTAAGGAGTAGTTTTTTAAACCGTGTTGAAGGTTGAAAATAAAAGAGCTTTTTTAATAATTGTTTATTCAGAGTGGACAATTACAACAGTAAATATTAGGATTTTGTACAATCTAGATTGTACATCTTTCACACACATAAAGTACAAATACATAAATAAACTAAAAATTAAAAATGAAACAATATTGAGCTAAAATGTACACAATATAATACAACTTTACACTTATCTTGAATACTTAGTGAACCGAAAAAGTTTTCTTGAGATTATCAAGCATTTTAAGTGAACTTCTATACATAAGTGTTTTACATATTGTTTTATTTACAAATTATTCTAGAACCATTCATACAGTACTTAACTTAAGAATAATTTATTTCAAGTCGTGACGGTATTTACAAAAGTGAAATTTCATGCTGTATATGTACACTAAACTTCTAGCCTAATATAATCATCACACTTTCTTTTAAAACTATAGTGAGCACAGTGTCTTTTCACAATTTTTCAAATACAAAATTCTAGATATATCTTACAAGTTCCCTTCAAAGAAAATCAACAAAAATTTAACAATATTGCACGTCAAGTCCGAAAAAAACTCGTCCGAGAGATAAGTACAAGCCTACCCTTGAGGGAAAAGTACACCAATACCGAGTGAACGTCTATTGGCACAAAGAGTAAAACCCCGACACATCTACGATTTTCTGAAATTCGTCCGAGTGTCGTAGGCCGGAGACCGCCTGAGATCCGATAAAGGCCCTACGAAGGGCCGCAGTCTCCGTTATAGGAGGCCCAGGGCTAGCTGTAAGGGCTGCCGCAGGCGTAAAGACCGCGCTGCATGGGACCCATGCCTCCCATCCCCATGGCTTGGTGGAATGCGTAGCCTTCGTCCTGTAGGGACGCCAGGTGGAAATCTGGAACATCCACAAGTTATGGAGATGGAGGGTCGAAGATATATCTACAATTGTACGGGAAGGGCAAGCACTAGACTAAGTGTGACAGTCCCTGTATAATTCCGAATTTGTTTGTGGCAAAAATAACAAAAAAACTAAAAATAAATAAAAATACCTAATGGAATCACATAAACACGTCCTAAGTAGCGAGATGGGCAAATTGGCTAGGATGCAAGTCAAACTGATAAGGGTGGCCGTAAGGAGACATGTGATAAGGAACGATATTCATACTGGCCATCTTATGCTCTTTTTTCCACTTCATGCGGCGGTTTTGAAACCAGATTTTTATTTGTCTTTCGGTCAAACATAAGGCATGAGCTATTTCTATTCGCCGTCTCCTCGTCAGGTACCGATTGAAATGGAATTCTTTTTCTAATTCTAACGTCTGATAACGCGTGTATGACGTCCTCTGCCGCTTTGTTTCACCATTTGCGTTCACAGTACCTGCAACAAAACCAATTTTCAGAATTTCACAAAAATACACTCAGTTTACGATAAGAAAGACCACCCAATTCGCAACTGTGATAACGATGTTGTATACTTTATTTAACAAATAATTTTTTCATTTTATTGCAATTAAGCGAAATAAACTAGAACAAATCCGACGTAAAGTTTATTTTAAGAATTGATATTAATAAAACACAGTTGCGCAGGGGTTAATCCCACAGAAAATAATTTTTATTTTTAAATTTATTCAAGTCAAAATTAATACGTCATTCGGCTACCCTTGCTTGTTAACCTTTTATGTCTGATTGCATAAACGACAGTGTGAATTGATGTCTCGTTTAGTTCATCATGAACATGTTTATAAGTCTACAAAACATTTTTATCACTGTATTGCCAACACTAATTGTTGGATTCTTTTCCGGCGGTCATTTATCGTTTCAGTCTAACAGTCTGTGCATTAAATGTTTACTTAATAAATTTAATTAAAGATATTTTGATCAGTGACGCATGACATTTTATCATAAATTATATCATCGTCTATTTAAAGTAACGGAACAAAAGTGTTACTGTGAAAATAGCAGATAACAAAGTGAATCGACAAAATTTGTTGCTAGTGCCAAAATTTTTGCAAAAAATGTACATAATTTAGACAATCAATAAATATCAAATGTTGGTTCATCTGTATACATTAATATGAAGAGAGACCTACATAATAAAACACTGATCCCATTCAAATCAATTCATTGATAAATCAAATTTGATCAAATATTCATTTTTTTCACAAGTAGGTATGTAAAATAAAGCTAAAACGTATTATCAAAAATTAAAAGTGAGTATTACATTTTTTTAAAGAAAATTATAAGAAAAATCACACAATTCCTGTTTTCCGTATTCTGCAGCAAAATAAGCGTTTTCAGAAATTGTCATTATACACTCCCTAATCATTAAAAAAGAATTATGTAAAATTTATTAAATTTATAAATAAAATTATATACAGCTAGTACTTTATTCATATAAATTATCTTCTTTAACGCTTAGATCTAAGTGTATTCTGGTATCATTTTATCTCATTCTTTTTAATTTTTTTCTGGTAATTGAAGTATATTTATGTTTGAACATAGGTACAAGAAACTATGCAAATCGGCATCTTCTACAAGCTAAAAATCAAGTTCCTTTCCTATAGCCCGTATTTTAGTGGACACAAAATATATAAACCAAACCTTTTTTGAAAAAACTTATTGGTAAATGATAAAGTAGGTACATAACATAAAAATAAGAAGTTTTTCAAAAAAAAATTTTGCAATTTTTTTAATATTAGTAAGTGGCAATTCTATAGAACTTTTTTCACAAAGGCTATGATCTAAGCCTTACAAGTACATTTTATTCAATTTTTATTTAAAATGTATAAAAACTCATTAAAAAAAAACTCAAAAACAAAACAAAATTTCATTCTCAAAGTACGGTCATATTTCTTACAGCACTTTAATTTTTTACTATTTTCTAAAGAAAAACGTTGAAAAAAGCTCTTGATTCCATACTCTTTGTTCACCTTGTATAAAATTATGAAGTAAAAAAAAAATGGCTAGGTATTAAACAAAGACGATACTATGTTACAGTTGAAATAATTTAGTAAAGTCATAGTCTTTATTATTGTTTTAATTTTTTTGCGATTATAGATCTTGCAATTGTAAGCAGCTGAGTGTTTTATTTTAAATACATTTCTTTCGAAAAAAAATTATTTTCTAAATACATAGTTTTTTTTATACATTCCTATATTGACAACAAAAATTTTGCCAAATACTCAGTAATCAACAATAATTACATAAGTGATAATAATTTTTTGATAATTTGAACTAGATGTACGAATCTTTGTTTCTATAGAAATCTCACGAGTGGACGAAGTCCACGAATAGGATTTCTTAATAGCAACAAACATGAGTGCTAATCTACTTAAAATTATAACAAAAAATTATTATCACGACTTCGGTGTGATTAATATAATTTTTCACATCTGCGAAAAAATAGTTGTTGTAAGTGCCTAGTACATAATTCTAATCAGAAAAAATTTCTAATCAATCAATATCATCAAAATTACGCTGATAATTTGCTACTAGAAAAATATCACTGTAATTTTAATGCTTTTGGTCGATTTGAAATTTTTTTTCATTACGATTGGCTGACAGAACTGTTTAAAAATAATCAGTTCAACTTTCTTTAACTTAACAATGCTTTTCCTTTTTGTTGATGAAAGAGTTTTGGCCTTTCTGAAAAAAGTGCTTTTTGTCAGTGCACTGTCACCTTTCGATGTTT